AAAAAAAAAAACTAGCAACAAAAGACAACTAACCTAGCAGCAAGAAAAAAATAACTTAGCAACCTAAGACAACTAATCTAGCAATAAAACTCAACTAACCTAGCAACAAAACACAACTAACCTAGCAACAAAACACAACTAACCTAGCAAGAAAAAAATAACATAACAACAAAAGACAAATGGTCAACGGTCAACGTCGTAAGTAAACGCCGGAAGTCAACGGTCAATGCCGAAAGTCAACGCTGAAAGTCAACGGTCAATGTCGGAGTCAACGATCAACGCCGGAGTCAACGGTCAATGGTCATAATAATATTAAATAATTAAAATAAAGAATTATTATTTAAACCAAGATGTAAATCTTGTAGCTATGAATGAGTCTCACGTCCTCACTTTAAATAATGGGACATATTGGAACCAATCCCTATATATATATATATACTTGGGCAAAGTGATTGGAATGCGCATTAAAGTTTTAAATACCACTTAGGTTTAAGATCTGTGATGGATATTCCTTGATATCAGATCAAGATAGGATTTTTTTTGTTCAGATCAAGATAGGATTTAAGTCTAATGTAAATATATAAGGACTTACTTTGGTTTGAACCATGACCGAAAGAATTCAAACTACCAGTCAAAGGCATCAAATTTTAACAGAGATACTAGCAGTTGAAACCGATTCAAAAGATAATAAAGATACTATTATTACGAGGATGGAAGGCATGGAGACTATTAATCAAAGGCTTAAAATTCTTTTGATTAAAATTCTAACAGAGATACTAACACTTAAGTCGATTCAAAAGATAGAATGTAAGTATTAGTGGTTCCAAGAATTTATATATATTTGAGATAGTTTAGGAAAATGTGTTAGAGGTGTACATTCCGAGAGTGATCATCAATACAAAAATATATTTGATTGGCGTAGATGCAATTTCTAGTCTCCATAACATTACACGTCCATGAAACTTCAAAATTCCAAACATACCAAGCCATATTCATGAGATGAGGGAAAAGCTTCTTATTTTTTAGATGAATTTCACACAAGATAGCTGCACGCCTTCACTGTGCCGGCTGATTCTCAATTTTGTAAGCAGCAATATATATCCATCCAGATACCGGAAGAAAGACAATCTGACACAATTACTTGCAGCCTTTCGATTCCGTAAAAATCATTACTCACAGGCTCACCTTAACTCTCAAGCAGAGTTCGAAATTTAACCCGCTTTTTCACACTACGCATCCTATCATACCCTACCCCAATCTTACTGTGCATCAACTTCATAGCAAAATCTGCATTGCCTGCCTTCCTCAATGCATTAATCATAACAGTACGAACCCTCCCCGGAACTTCCCGCCCTCGCTCAATAACTCCATCCGCCAGCTTGCACGCCTCAGCCACACGACCAGCCTTGCACAAAACGTTCATCATATCCTCAAAAGCCGTGTCCAGCACAATTCCCATAGGTGCCAGTTCATCCAAGATCTTACAAGCCCTCGCGACTTTGCCCGAAAGACAAAGCCCGGTTGAGATGGCCCGAAAACAAGCAGCAGTTGGCGTGACCCCTTTATCGATCATCACGTGCCAAAATTTCAACGCCTCTTCATTACGGTGCTCTTTAAATAAGCTACTGATTAGTATTGTGAATGTATGCACCGTCTGGTCACAGCCTTCGCTCTCCATTCTCTCAAAAACTACCAACGCTTCATCAACCTTCCCATTTTTAGCTAATGCATCTATCAAGACATTATAGCAGTACGAGTCCCGAGGGCAGCCCTCCTCAACCATCTCCTCGAATAGCTTTTCAGCCTCCCTCAATCTACCTACTTTTCCAAGGCCGTCAATGACGCTCGAATATAAAACAGCATTCATGGCGACATTTTTTTGTTTGCAGTAGTCAAACCATTGTAGTGCCTCCTCTAATCTCCCGTTCTTGCACAGACTGTTCACAATCACTCCATATGTAACTGGGTCAGGCTCAAAACCATCACTGTGCATCCTCTGGAAAAGCCCCATGGCAGTGTCCAAGTTCCCATTTTTAGCGTACGCATCAATCAAGGCAGTATAAATTGCCACATTGGGCTCACAACCATTTGAGAGCATATTTTCGAATACTGTGTGTCCTTCCACTGACTTGCCCTCCTTGCAAAGACCACTGATCACTAAGCTGTATGCATGTGGGGGTATACCTACTCCTTTATCTTGCATCTCATTGTAAAGTCTCAAGCAAAAATCGATGTTCCTCTCGGAATAACAAGCCTGCATCAAAGTCAGGAAAGTAATCTCGTCCGGCCCCACACTCCTTGCCTCCATATCCTGAAATTTTTCGATAGCCATTTTAACATTACCCGATTTACAATACCCTTTGATCATGGTGTTATACGTGACGACATCCGGCTTGACTTTGCCATTTTCCATAAGCTCAAAAACCTTGTCAGCAGACTCTATGTACATTGAGTTAACAAGAGCGTTGATGAGAAAATTATACGTGTACAAACTAGGCTCAACCCCACTATCCTTCATTCTTCTCCAAACCCAAAGCAACTCCTCAACCATCCCTCCATTCCCAAAGCTCCTAATAAGAGAATTTGCCGATGATGAATCCATCAAGAACCCCTTGCTCTTAAAATCGTCAAAAACCAACCTAACCCTATCAAAAATACCCTCCGAACACAAAACCTCAATCATAAAGACATAGCAGTCAAGGTTATGAACATACCCTTTTTGCATACCGGCCCAGATAAAAAATCGAAAGGAGGTATCAGCCCGGTTGGGGTACTGGTCTGAATTCTTGAGGATATGGGTGACAAAAGTAGGAGGCAATCTGATTAGGTATTTGTCGCAAAATACGGACAAATCTTGTTCGAAGGTTGTGGTCTGAAGAATGTGAAGGATCTTGGGGACCCAAGGGGAAGGTTGGAGGCCCGATTTTGGAGTGATGAGATCTGAAAGATCGTCGAAAGGGTGGACCCATTCAGGAAGAGGGAGATGAGTTGCGATGGAGGAATATGGTGAGATCGAAGGTTTTGGTGTTAGGAGGAGTGTGGCTATGGTGGAGGAGAAGGGCTTTGAGAGGCTTTTCCTCATCTTCTCTGCTCTGCTCTTCACCGCCGCGACCGATTTTGCATCGTTTTGTGATTTAACCTTTAGTATTGAAAATCATTTACAATTATTTAGTACATATACGGGCACATATGTGTCAAGGTCCCATGGTCTAGCGGTTAGGACATTGGACTCTGAATCCAGTAACCCGAGTTCAAATCTCGGTGGGACCTGTATCTTCTTTTTTTCTTTTTTTATTTAAATTGTCATTTCGTTTTTAGTTTACTACGCGAATTATATGGGTAAAAGACATAAATAACCATCAATTACAAACTATTTTCATAAAAGAATCCACGTTGGGAGAATTCCAAAATTAGTCCTTCCAATCCAAAATAAAATAAAATAATTAATTATAACTGTAAATGAAAGTTACAAACAATTAATTAAAAAATTAAACTAATATTTAATTTCTCTCTCTCATCCTCTTTTTTTTTTCTATTTCTTCTTAATCTCTCCTACTTTTCTTTTACCGTTTTCTCTTTTTTCTTCCTTTTCCTTCTTCTTTCCTTCTTTTTCAAATATGAATATCTAAAGAGAGAAAAAATAATAGATCAAAAAATTGTGCATACAAAATTATTTCAAAAGTAGGTGGACAATCATGTATGTGAATTATGTATAAGAGAAAAAATAATAAAAAATAATAAAATTTTGTTTACAGCAACAAAAGAAATAACATAACACCAATCAATCAACATAAAAACAACATAAAAACAATTGTGTGTACATAATTTAATAACAAAATACCCACCTCGGCATCCCTCAAAATCAAACCCTGATATCTTAAAAATTCGCAGCTTGAAATCCTAATCCTTTCACAATTGCTTGCTTCAAATCCGAGGTAGCTTTTTCTATATCTCTCATTTCAACTTTTACTAGTTTCATGATTTTTTCTTTTTTCCACTTGTGTGTATTCAATTAACATCAAGATCTGCACTTGACCAAAAAAAAAAAAAAAAAAAANATGGACAAGAGAAAACTAAAAAAATTAAAGACAAAAACCAACACAAATGTGCAGGAAATACGCACCCAAAACAAAGGCCGCGCGAATATCAGTATGGCTCGCACTTGCTCAAATACGCACCTGATTGAACTAAAAGTGAAGCAAACTTCATGGAGGGGAAAAAGCACTCTGGAAAATTATGGTAAAAAAAAATATGTACTCTGCAAAACCAAGAATTAAAGAAAACAAAAACGATGAAAGAAAAACAAAAAAAGTTAAGTGATAAATCTTAAAAGAAAAAATATAGGAGAAGAAGAATTAAAAAGGGGTAGATAGGTTATCAGAAAGGAGAGATATAAGGAAGAGGATGAACCATTTTACGGTTATTAAAAAGTAAAAAATCCAGATTTTTAAAAACCTAAAAGAGTCTGCAAAAGGAGTATAATTGGAAACAAAAGGACTCATATTGTAACGCCCCACTTTGATTTAAGAAATAATCCATGACTTATTCAAAAATCAAGTTTACATTTTCGAAATTCATTTTTCAAAATCCATAACATTAGGGCATTATCTTGATTTCAATTCATATTTGAAACCAATAGTTCACATGATATCCAAAAGACACATTCAATATGAATATCCAAACATAGTTCCATGAAAAGAACCAAATCATATGTTCAAAACCAACATAATTTCAACGACATGGTCTGAAATGAAATAACATGTTCATAACCCAACATTTTCAAGTTCATAGTTCGGGTTAACTTATTCAAATAAAAGCGGAAGCAAATAATGTAAATATAACCATCCACTCGCCATCCGGCCATCGTTCCCACCTTGCTTAACCTGAAACGTGAATTTCAGGTGGGGATGAACACAGTTGGAAAAATGTCGTGCTCACCACTATGCAATAAATCATGTACAATATTAGTTAGGCATGGTTGCAGCATGAACACGAATCAATCAATTATCACATCTCCTAATCATAACATTTTTACTCAATGTGCACACCTATCATTAGCCATTGAAGGACATACAGCTCACAACAATGGAAGTAAAATACCGAAGGACATACAGCTCACAACGGCCTTGCCTATCATTAGGCTAAGGAGACTGCCTATCAAAGGCACCGTCGAAGGACATACAGCTCACAACGACGGGGACAACCGCTCGAAGGACATACAGCTCACAACGAGGGTTACATGGTTCACACGCATGCATTAATCACGCCAATCAACAAATGTAAATAATTTATAGCATAGACGATTTTAGAATAACAACTCACCTGGTCGCAAATAGGAGATAATCACGAAAGCACGATTAGGCTGCAAGCTCAGCTCGTCAAACACCTACATTAAGTCCAGATGCTATAATCAACACCTATTCCGACTTAAACGAAAAATCACAATCATACTTAGTCGAACTTGATTCAACTAAGTTGTTCGTGAAGTCCTGTGGACGCTGGAACACTTAGACTCGACATCTAGACTCAACCAAGTTCACATGGGAGTTCACATAATCAAAGGCACAAATCGACAAAGCCAAACACTTAAGGAAACAGAAAACAAGATGATTCACAATTTTTATTTCCAAAAGCTATGTATCTAAAATACTAGATTTAAACCACAAAAATAAGTTGACCAGGTTATGATTCGAATTTAACCCTGAAATTTTAATCAAAATTTTACTTTCCAGAGTTAAGCAAATGAAAAAATTTTCAGCTTCAAATCCCAAGTACACTATTTTATAAAATTCCCACAAGATATAAGCAAAACCGAGTCATGAATTTATACTCAAACTTAATGAATGATTCAGGACTTGATAATCTTACACAATACACTACAGCATGATATAAACAACATATAAAAACCCCAGCCCTTAACATTAACTGCTGCTATTTTTAAAAATCCAAACAAAATTCAACAGTTTATCGAATTTAAATCAAAACTGAATCAAAATGAACTCTAAAAATTTTCATATTTTAACAGCATGAATAAACACATAAAATAAACAACTCAGTAAAGTTTCAGAATTTTCCAGCAAGAACTCAATTAATAACATTAAATTATGAAACTGCAGAACACAACAAATAATTTTTACACATTGAAAACGAAATCCAAAAATTCCAAAACTTTTACACGACCTATAAAACACACAGGATGACAGAATCTTAAAATTTTATAAATTTTGAGGCACAACTGAATTTAATATGCATTTTACAAGATTCTGCTCAAATTTTCAAACAATTATTTAAAATAGCTAAACTTATTATTTAAATCTGAATTTTTTATACAACATGTAGTTACAGCAGTGGGTCGAGCACATAAAATTTCACTTTGATACGAGCATCACAGAATTTATCATAATTTATATATCAAAACAACGATTAAACAATTTCAATAATTCATAACTGACTCGTTTTACGACGAATCCGTCCAAAGTCTTCGTCATAAGACTAAGGACGATGTAATTTCCAGCCCACAGCAACCAATTTACGAGTTGACAAGGCCTCGTTCGATTTTCCAAAATCGAAAGACTCGTCAACGCAAAATTTCATATTCGACACAACAATAACCTCATGAACACAAATAAAATCACATAAAATTACATAGGCATATTCTCATGAATTCAGTATACACATACGACAATCAAGCACTCAACATAAACGAGACGTAAAATTTAAATAAGACGAGTCGAGCCTTGTACCGTTCTCGGGATTCGAACGAAAACGGAACGAATGGTTGACGGGAAGCTCGGGCTCGTTTGCGAAGAGGAAAGGATCGCTGCTTGCCGGAAGTGATTGTGACGTCGCGGGAAAGGCGTCGGATCGTTGCTGGTGCGCGTGGTTCACAGCGAGGGGGCGCGAAGATGACTGGTTCTTCGCCGGAGAAGGTCACGAGCAGGGAAAAAGCTTCGTCGACAATGGTCCTTCGCGAGTTCGCCGGAAGTTGCAGGTTCTCGACGAAGAAGATGAAGGCGCCGGCGAAAATAAAAAGGAATAAACGAGGGTGATGATGGAGGACGTTGAAGGTTTATGGATTCTGCGTGAAGAAAGATTGAAGACGGAAGAAAAGAGAAGATCTTCTATGATCGAAAATTTGGCTGCGGGTCTAAAAAAAAAAAAAAAATCTGATGGTGAAGAATGAGGGAAAACGTGCGTGAGTTTATAGACATAATCATATTAGGTTTAGAGTCTTGGACAATAAGAAACTCTCACACACGGGCCGAAATAACGGGTTGGGCTGGCGGTTTATCGGGCTCGCGCGTTCGGTTAAATAAAACATATCGGCTCTCGGGCCCGACTACGTAGAAATAAAACAATTTCACGGGCTCGATAAATTAAATCACACAATTTGACAAACCGAAAGATATATATAAATATATTACACATAATTTAATTTTTCAAATAATAATA